CCATATTTTTACCAAATAAGGAAGTCAAGTATTACCAAATATGGAGTAAGTCACCTACCTCGTTATTGTGAACTTGCATCAGCACTGCGAAGTGCGTCAAATGGTTGCACGAGCACATGACGTAATKGTCAGTTGCATTGCCAACTGTGCAYCCYTYATGTGACCAWCCGGGRRCTCTGCATAAAACAAGGCGATACAACCATCAAACATTTATCAATTATTACAAAACAGCTTCGTATTAGATATTAGAGCTTATTATAGGTTAATTGCTTAACCGTTAACAATTTAGGATTAGGTCATTGAATGGGACAATGAAATAATTCGTTTAGTGATATAACTTATGTCATTCATGCAGGGGAAATGTTTCTGCGCTTAAAAAGATTCCTAAGTGGTCATTCAATTGACCTACTTGGCACTGAAGTCCCAAAAACTGCACTGCTCCGACGACCTCTTTGATTCGTCGACCTGTGAATATATATATTATATATATCGTGGAAATTGGCACCCGGGAAAGGTCGACATAGAAAACTGGAAGAGTTRTCATAGGGTAAATCTTCATTCTCATTTTTACTTCCATACAGGATCCTAACACTATACGTCTTTTGAATTCCTTCCCTACCAGTTGTTTCCCTCTTCCTCTCCACATTCCCCTCCTCTTCTCCCTCCCCCTTACTCCTCGCCCTCCTCCTTCAAAGTCTCCCTGTTCTAATAAAYCCCGAAAGATTTAATGTTGCATTAGAACAAGCTYACCAACCTTAAAACCCAATGTAATATTTTTTAYCAACGAAARCATGCTGGGTCGCACAGCAGCAACRAGAACGTCAGAGCCAATAGAATCCCTGCAAGAGCACAATTAAATGTTTGAAATAATGAAAATGCTTCTTTGCAAATGACTGTATTATATACAAAGTGTACACAATAGTGTAAATTGCCAATTTACTGGAATTGCAGACTTTGCAACTTCTCAATCTACATTATAAAACAGCGCATGCTCCAGCTCGGCCCATGAGAGCTAAAGTATTCTGTTTTGTCTCTCTGAGAAGCTTCTTCGACGACACATGAAGGGCTGGCGCTAGAGTTTATACCGCTTAAGGCTTATACCCTTGCATCACATATCACTAAAAATCTCAAGYAATTTTTCATCACCTTCTTTGTCATGTTGAGAACTTACGTACCTGCCATTTTGTTTGAAGTTCTTCACTAGACGATCCAGGGTTGTGAAGTATATCACGACAACAGACGTATCTGCAATTTTAATTAATAATAATAATAATAATAATTTGAAAAATAACGTTATTCCTTGATGACCCTCTACTATGATCGAAGCAATGGGAAGTACCAGTTGAATTCCATGATGATTATCAAACTCTGTGGTTAAGCTACTGGCCTCTCACCGCTGTGGTCCAGGTTCGATTCCCGGACACGGACCATATGTGAGTTTGAGTTTGTTTGATGTGTTGTTCTTTCCCTTGCCACGAGGGTTTTTCTGAGGGTCCTCCGGTTTTCCTCCCTCAGCAAAAATCAACATGTCATGAGTATTGTGTGCTAAAAAACTTAATGTAGAGGTAGTGAGTCTGAGAGTATTGGGCCCGCAAGCTGTTGCGGTGTCCCTGCCCAAACTAGAGGCAAGTTAATAGATTTTAATTTAATACTTTGTAATGCTGAAACATGTAAAGGATTCTTCATTCAGGCTTACCATTTTGGATGAAGTTTTCTGAGGGTATTATTATMTTCGTTGGTTTACTGGTTTTTGTCTTTTCTGGAACTGTGAACATGAAATCTTCATGAACGTTGCGAACATTTGTGGCCAGAAGAACTGCAATACAAAACGGAAATCATCGGCAGATGAATATACTTGGAAATGAAAAGCTTCTCGTGACTTCATTTATCGTAAGGTGTTGGCTACATATCATCTGTTGTCAGGGGAGATTCAGGGGATGATTAAGGTGGCTACCTACCCCCTTTTCAGGATTCAAAAATGTACAAACATAAAATATCGCATGAATAAACAAAAAAGAAACTTGACTACGACTCATGCATTCTTTACAGTGTTACAATGCATCTAAAACAAAATGAGAAGCCGGTTTTCCATCCAATTTTAAGTTTTTTCCTTCTAAATCAAAATTTAATTTCTGAACTTAGCCATCCCCCTTTGTGCAGGACAGGGCGAAGGGAGGGCTCCCTCCCTTCGCCCCCTGGTGCAGGAGATTTTGGATCCGTCGCATGTTGTATATACATAAGTCTTTACCAACGCTTTTTCTTTTGATCAATATTTCCTTCTKTTTCAGTTGATGTCCAGCGTATCGAAGAGCGAAGTCCTCAACATCTCTACTTGCCAATAACGGRTTTTCATTAAGAKGGGTGATGGCTTCCAAATCATCAAGCAGTTTTTGTGTCATGTTGAGACACTCCTGTGGGAACATTTAATGAAAAAAAAAATGATTGAGTGAAACCGCTTRATGAAGTGTAATTAAGTTCCAAATTCAGGATTTGAAATAACATTTGGGAAGGTGAAAATTGAAGGAACTAGAAAACTGAATTTGAATTTCCTTTTTCATGCGCTTTATTCTGCGGCGTAAAATCAGAAAAAAAAGAAATAACTTACTTAGAAGTAAAGAAATTCACGAACAAGAACTTAATAAAGRAGGAGGAACAGGGCCGTATTCTGGATTTTCTTTAAGGATGGGTGCAGGACCCTTAAAGGGGCGATGGGCTGGATCGCAGAGAAGATACAAAAGTGAAAGAAAAGCATGCAAGGTCTCAGGGGGGAAGGGGTTGGGGGGTGGGGTGTGCACCCCAAGCACCCACCAGCTGAGAGGCAGAAGAAGATGGAAATTAATAAAAAAGAAGAAAAAGAACTTTGAAAGGGAGAAGACAAGGCTGAGGACGCCAAAGAAAATGAAGAGGAAAAAGAAAAAAAGTACATGAGATGAAGAGGACGAAAAAGAGAACAATGTGGAGTAGAATAGAGAAAGAAATAGTAGTAGGGAAAGAAAAGCAGCGCGCGAGAAGAAGAAGGAAAAGAAGAAGGAAAAGAAGAAAGGCTGCTATGAGGTGAATTGAATGAAAGGAAAAACTAGAAAAATTACTAAACATGTGGATAAACCTTCAGTGATGACGATTCATTGACATTCAGCTTTGCAACATCTTTCCTAAACTTTGCAATCTGAAAYGACAAATGGAACCTGATCATGATATCGTGAAAAATTTAATGTTTAACTGTATTCGTTATGATATACTCATAAGAATGAACTCTACAGAGTTTGCAGCTARGTTTGTGGGACTAGAAAAGRMCAATCAGAAGMGAGATCRACCGTCATCTAAGTGCATTTTCACGTGCAAATTTTAAGAAGTAAGAGTAGTACAAATGATAACGCAATTCTATAATCACAAAAACGCGCTTTAGAAGCTCATATTAAATAGTACAATATCATTGTACTATATAAATACAAAATGTGTTCATTTATGTTTTTCTAACACTAGACAAGTCTTGTAACTGAGGATGTTTTCAATAAAACGAAACTAGTTTTACAGACAATACAAACTGATTTTGTGCGTCAAGACCAAATGAAATCAAGATGAAATTCATTCCAAAGTGGCAACGCCTCTTATCTCAAGTTCTGGAAWACTTAATGACAACGTCTGCAGGAGCCTTACCAGGCTATTTTCCAGAATAACGCCTTGGTCACCATTGTTTACRAAGCTCGATGACGTCGGTGATGGTAGTGTGGAGGAGGGACTGGGGACTAGTTCCTTATCGGATGTTGCGATTGGATGCGATGAAACTGACGTTGATAGCTGTGATAGTGATGATGATGTGTAAGATGATGATGATGTTGTTGATGGTGAAGATGATAACTTCAATGATGAAGATGGCAATGGAGTTTGGGACGGTGATGTGGGTGCTRATGATGCTAGTGGTGTCGACRATGCTATTGGAGATGATTGCGGTGWTAGTGATGATGGCAATTTTGTTGATGGTAAAGGTGATACGTTCAATGATGAAGATGGCGATGGAGTTTGGGACGGTRATGAYGGTGYTRATGATGCTAGTGGTGATTGTGATGTCRACGATGATGCTGGAGATGATTGTGGTGCTGGCGATGATGGTAATTTTGTTGATGGTAAAGGTGATACCTGCAACGAGGGAGATGTCAAAGGAGTTTGTGATGTTGTTGTTGATGATGATGATGTTACTTCTGTTGTTTGAGACAATGGTGTTGATGTTGTTAATGTCAGGAGCTTTAMTGACGAAGACGGAGACGTTGATAGCTTCATTGAAACTGACAAGGAAATTAAAAAAAATTAATGTGTCGACAACTTAAACTTTTTGAACAAACAGTCAACAACAAAAATAGGTTAAAAAATATCTGACATGAAGACATCAAAATTGTCATCAGAGGGGTCGACCACTACAGTCAGAACGAATCTTGTGATTGATCGAGACAACAAGAAACAAAGAATTGAAGGAATATGACAGACAATGTCTATTGTTCTACTGGACATCTTTGTTTTGTGTTGCCTGTCTTTCTTTGTTTTTTCATCAAATCAAAATATTTGCTCTAACAGTAGTGTACAACAGAGGAAGAGAATCGGCTTCAATCACCAACTTTTGTGTATCAATACAACATGACTCCTACCTTTGCTGTACTGGCATATAAAGTATGCTTCATGACGGCCATCGGTTGAAAATAGCGATAAGCTGTTCTCCCATGGCTTTATGTGAAGATAAGTACCAGAAGGTGAATGAATAAGAGATGGATCAACTGTTGTTCCATCACGCCATTTGAATGAAGACGAGGAACCGGAAACGAAACTTTGTGTTTTTTTTCCTCCAACAAAATAGTGCTCGTTATAAGCGAGGCTTATTAGTTTCTTTAATTCAGTGATTTTGGCCAATTCGCCTTTAAGGTCAATCAGGTTTGCATTGCGTTCTTTGCAATAAACACTTGCTTTTTCCCAAGTTCGCTTTACTTGAAATGCTTTTATACATGTCGTAAGTCCGTCACTCCAACTTGACCTGCATGCACCGTCGACTGCAAGAGATAKTTACCCAGTCTTAACTCACTAGAGCAAACACAGGAAAACCATGAAATAATATCAAACTAATTATGCTAACAAATAGTAGCTAGAGAATTTGTCAGTAAAGAACCATTTGTCAATAAAGAACCATGCCGTTTGCAATAAAGATGACTCCACCTATGAGACCATTTCATTTGTATCGACTCATATAATTTATTGTATGTTTTTTGTCGCACAATAGGATAGAGTGGATTCATCTTGATGCGTTTTGGTCATTGATACTGACAATTTGTCTCTAAATAGCCGCTATTTGTTAGTATTTAGTTTGATTTGATGTCATGATTTTCCTGCGTTTGCTCACTAAGCAGGACAGCTACTTTCAGACAAAGTGATATCTAAAAATTATCCATAGGCCTTACTACCAGTTTCCCCAGTTCAACCTTCCAGGTGCAACTTATAAATCTGCCAAACTATCTGTGTATTTCCACAGATTTTYAATCGCAATTAGAAATATACTTTATATACTTAGGCCCGAGTCGCACTGAATAAGCTCGCAAGTTTTACAAGATACTTCTAGAAGGCTTTTTTGGCATAATTCATGCTAGTCCAGAACTGGACCCTCTTTTCTCAATTACTATAGATAATATTCTATGTAAAAGTTAAAAATCCAAAGCGCGAGAAAAGTGGACCCTCTTTTATCGTGACCGTTGAGAACGCTGATTCAAAATAATAGTTTTCAACTCCGCGCGCGCAAGGATAAAAGAGGGTCCAGTTCTGGACTAAATTCATGCTTACTATATCAGCCACGAAGTGTTTTACATTTATTTCCATAATGCAGATATCATTTTAAAAGTGTCAAAAACGTGATCRCTTTTACATTTGTGACTGACATAACGTCGCTTTCAATTGTGTTCAATACGTCAAGAAAATAAAAGTTAATTTTAAGGGTATTTGATTAAAACATTGCKTGCGTCAAACCAATTTAACATATAATTATCTATGCAATACCTATATTTCTCCATTTCGTAAACTTAAATAACATGTTATTTTCACTGGTGAAAATAGCACATTCGAGGCTTCTCTATAGTGGAAGTAAGAAAAAAAGCCATTTTACGACATAATTTGCTTTCATATACAATTATATGATAAATAGAATATTACATGTTCGTTTGGAGATACGAATTTTATCTTCTCGTGTTGAAAATCTCTCACTCGCTCGTTCGCTACGCTCTCTCGTGAGAGATCTTTTCAACACTCGAAGATAAAATCCGTATCTCCGCGCGCCCATGTAATATCTTCTATATACTGATCTCAAGTTTCTGMGTTTTGACGTCAGTTGAGCAAAATAAAATTCTAGCTTCGGGCGTCCATGTCATGGCTTTTGGAATCTCTGATAATTCGTCGAAGTACCAATTATTGAACTTTTTTGTTTGGGAAAATAAAAAACTTTAATTAGTTCATTATTATTGCTATTATTGGCATTCTGTGCCCYGTTCTATTYAAACKTCCAAACAGGATAACACCTAACGAAGTTAATWTAATTTATTGGATGCCTTGCCAATAAAAAAACGCCTAAAGCAATTAAAATTGCCCATATTTTCACTTAAAAATGAATTGTTTTGACATCTTTTAGAACTCTAGAAATAGTTTTGATCTTTCATATTAGTTTGCACTGTATAATTAAAAAAAA